TAGGGTGGCAGGTGAGGGCCTCCCTCTGTCACTGCTAGTAACCTGCTTCCCACCCCTACTTATGTTACTGCACTGCTCCCTCTTGCCATCAAACTCCCAGCTCCGTGAGCCTGATGTGTAGGCTCTGCCAGTGCACCAGAGGAGAATATGGTTCAGGTAGCATTTATTTGCCATATATTTTCTGTTGTTTTTATCTTTCCAAAATATGATGTGCTAAACCAAAACTCGTAGTTCTTGGTTATGGCCAAAGATTAATATATTTTGGAAAGACTGAAAAAAATCTGCTAAACTGCTCTTTAAATGTTAGAATATGAAAATGTTTAGGCATTAAGAAAAATTTATAGTCAGTAAACTGTATAGTTACAGTTTCTTAAACATGAATTTTGGCACATGCAGTATGTAATCCAAAAAAGAAATATGTAATTTATATGGTCTGAAAATACCTAGTTTTGAGAGAAAATTTCCAAAGCATGTACAGAACATTACTGTATTAACTGATATAAATTTGTACCAAAGCATAATATTCCCAGGTATATGTTTGCCACAGATAACTGTCAGAATTACTGTACCACTATGTAAGTTAGCCTCACAATGGAATAAGCAGTGGTTTGGTCTTAGCAGTCTTCCAGGAAAAAAAAAACTTTGTGGGCCATTCTCTTGTGTGTCAGCTGAAATAACTTTTGTGTAATAAAGGTGCTTGCTGAAGGCCCTATGAAGATTAGACCAAGTGTTCTTCTGTATTTGTTTAGATATTAAGCTATATGTTGTTGCTAAAAGCCTAATTTAAGTTTAAGATGTAGTGAGGCCTTGTATAAAGTAAGGCCTAGTAAATTTAGCAAAGCCTTAAAGTAGTAAGGCCCTGTGGTGTAGTTAAAATTACCTTATCAAAGGAATGCAAGGCTTGTACTGCTAATTGGTCAGTCTAAGGACGGTTGAAGTAAAAGGAATCTGAGTGGTTGTACATTATCAGTATCATTCAGAAGCTATAAATGAGTTGAAATATTTGGAAACCATTCAGAAGGAAGAGACAGCTCTGTAAAAAAGATTAGTAGCTGTTGCCTGGATCAGTGGGTCCGTGGACATCGAGGAGCCCAAGAACTGCATCCCAGGGTCCTTTCCGGTACCCCTTTGGACAGTGTCGTTAGGGGACGCCTGACTTCGCTGAATTTTGAGGAAAAGAAGCTTGCTGTGTATCAGGCATCAGAAGGGACTGCTGATAAGTTGCTGATGCTAATTGCTTTTGTCTGTCATTGTCTGTTTTGTTACTACGCATAGTGGTGTTTTTGTTAAGTCAATAAATCTTTCTTACCTTTCTACCCCCGACCATACTCTCAAACCCAAACCCTCCGCAGGCAGCTGGGACATAAATTGACGATACGAACAGGATTGAGAGGCTCTGGTCCGGAGAGAAAGGTCGGAATGGAGGGAGTTGTGTGGGCCCCGTTAGTAGCTTTGCTTAAGGAGGTGACGGGGATAGAGAATCCCGGGTGGGATAAGGATAGGTTGAGACCTGCCTGGAGTGACCCGGGAACTGTACCCAATCATTGGGCTAGGTTTGCTACTGCTGCCCGGGGTAAGCCCGAGAAGGGGTGCCTGTCATGGCTGCTGGCAACATGCCTGCGGTTAGGGGCCAAAGAGAATGCCCAGCTCTGGGAGGAGGTCATCTGGCTGAGTAAGGAGTTAAAAGATGTGAGAAATTCCAACAGCGTGGCAGGTCATGAGAGCTATGCAGAGCTGCTTGGAAACATTCAAACAGAAGAAAGGAAAAATTATGGTCCTGTGCGTAGCTGCTCCCCTCCAAAAGAAAGTGCAGTTAGTGCAGGCTATGAAGCGATCCTCCCACAAGTGTCTGTATAGAGATAAACCAAAAGTTAAGCTCTGGGAAAATCAAAGGGAAGAAATTTATGGAGAGGAGGAGATTTATGACGTGCCTGGTGCTGAAACACCCCCGTATGTTCCTGCCCAGAGGGAGGAACCTAGCCAGGCCTTCCCCGCCCCGAGGGAGAAACTCAGCCAAGTTTTTCCTGTGGTGATAACTCATTCAAGGACGCAAGGAGAGAATCCCCGAACAGAGCTGCATTCCTTTATCTGTGCAAAGAGTAAAAATATTCAAAAGGAGCATGAATGCAAGCCAGGAAAACCAGTAATAGACTGGCTACTTCAAATGTATAGTGAAGGGGCATTTGCAATTTCAGTAAATAGAGCCAAAGCAGCCCAAATGGTTCTGTGCCCTGATCTCCAGTTAAATCAGTTTGCAAGAAGTGATGAAAATCACTTTGTTACTTTGTTTTCTGCTGCACTTCAAGCCACTGCAGCCAGCTATGGTAATATAGAAGAAGAGCTTAACCCTGCCTCTTGGGCATGTGCCAATTTAAAAGAGGCTCTCCACTACTTGTATCTATTATCACTAACTGAAATCATTCGTACAGCGGTTTGGACTCACATGCCAGATGCAGAAGTCGTGACAGCACTGCTGTGGAGGAGGTTTTGCTGGCAACCACCAACAAAGTGCACCTCAGCCTTGTTGGCCTTGGAGCCAGATGCGGTGAATCACCCAGTAAGAGATGCGATCCAGCAATTAGTGCAGCTTCTACCCATTTTGCAGAAGCCAAGGCTTACCAAGCTGATGAAAACTGCCAAGGCCATGGCAGTGAGCTCGGTGAAAGATAAACCCCCTGACCCCCCCGCCAAATTGTTGAGAAAAGCTGGGAAAGGCCGGCCCAAGACTCCACAAGCAAAAATGTGGAAAGACTTGTTAGCTGCCTGTTACAATGAAGTGCAAATCAATAGACTGCCCATCAATGCCTTGCAAGGGCTAAGAGCTAAACACTGTACCAAAAGGACAAGACCAAAAGCAGAGCCTTTTGTGCCACCAATAGTGTCACCAGAGAGATTCTGTGCCCTGAGGGCAAAACTGTCAACATTTTCCCAGGCACATGCAGAGCCGCCAGCCTTTACCCTGCCTGATCACATGGCCTAAGGAGTCCGGCCAGCCCAACCCCCAAAGAAAAGAGCCACAATGGGGGTAGTAGCAGGCCAAGAACTTGTATCTAAAGTTAATATTGGGCCCTTAATTCAGATACCTGTACAGATTCAATTAAGTAAAAGTGAAAAGTCAATTGATATACTATTAAACACGGGTGCCCAGATTTGCATTTCAGATTCCACAGATTGGAAGGGGGAGAAAGGAACCCCTTATCAAGTAATTAGAGTCGGAGGCACCAGACGACCAGGACATCTAGTCCGAGCAACCTTCGTATTACCTAATGGCTCTAAGGTAACAGCGGCCGCAATAATACTTAAAGGGGGACCAAGCTTACTGAGACTTAATGTACTAAGAGGACAGCAGTTTGCCCTTAAACAAAAGAATTAGCAGTTTGGGTGCGCAGTGCCTCACCGAGAACCAGAAGAAATGGCTATAACAGCTGTAACATGATGATGCATGATCCCACTAACCCTGCCTCCCATGAAAGGAGTACACAGACCCCAGTATCGAACTCCCTCCAAGGCCACCCAACCTATCCAGTGTATCGTAAGTCAGCAGTTAGAAGATGGGACTATTATCCAAACCCACTTTCCGTATAACAATCCAGTGTGGCCAGTGCACAAGCCAAATGGAGGGTGGCAATTGACTACTGACTTTCGAGCTTTGAATGCTAATAATGACCCCTTAACAGCTGCTGTCCCATCATTACCAGCCTTGACAGAAAGCATCCGATGTTATGGACCCGTGTGGATGGGATCCGTTGATATCAAAGACATGTTTTTTGCTATTTCCATCCAGGAGAGCCACTGGCCAGTATTTGCTTTTATGTGGATAGGGCAGCATGCTGCCCCAGGGATGAATACACAGCCCCACCCTGGCTCATGGAGTTTTAGCTACAATAGTTCATGAAGTTCAAGAAAAGTAACCTGATGTACGCATGTGGCAGTACATCGATGACATCATGGTAGGCAGTCAAGACAGAGAGGCTGCCATCAAGGCCTTTGAATCATTGAAAGAAAAAGTGCTTACCTTTGGATTCACACTGTCTGAACAAAAAATCCAAGAGGTCGGGCCCCAGTGTGAATTTCTAGGAATAGAATGGCAGAATGGGAGGCCCACAATACCAGCTGAGGAGCTGCGAAATATAGTAGAGACCCCGACTCCCACTAATGTGAAAGAGCTGCAAGCCCAATTGGGAGCACTACATTTCTGGCGTATGCATGTTCCTGAGTTTAGCATATTGGCTCGTCCCTTGTATAATCTATGTAAAAAGAGAACTAAATGGGAATGGGGTCCTGAGCATAAATATGCCTTACAAGCCCTTAAAGAAGCAGTAAGTGTTCATGCCTCTCTAGCAGCACGACGTCCCGAAGGAGAGCTTTGGCTCCATATAGGTGTCTCGGAAGGAGGACCACACTGGAGCCTGTGGCAGGGGGCCTCGGGAGCAGAAAAAGAAAACCCCTTGGATTCTGGAGCCGAGGCTGGAGAGGGGCAGAAGCAAGGTATACTCTCTTAGAACAGATGTTGTATGCAGCAACAGCAGCCCTGGAAGCCACAGAAGCACTGAGAGGAGAGTTACCCACAGTTATCACTACTCCGATACCTACCCTCGGAATGGCTCTGTCAGATCGCCAGCTACCACCTGGGGGGAGAGCCCAAGACGCCACGGTCCAAAAGTGGATTTATTACATTTTGAGTCAAGTCCAACGAGTAACCCCTAAGGGACGCCCTGCATTAGTTGAAAGAGTTACTGAAAGTACAATTAATGTTTATCCTGATCAAACAAGCTGCAGTGAACCTTCACCCATCAAAGAAGCACCTCCTTTCTCACCTGAAATGGAGACCTCAGCCAGTGTTGAAGTCTGGTTCACAGATGGGTCTGCTCGAGGTCATGCCTGGAGAGCAGCTGCCTTAAGGATTCAAGATGGAAAACAACTAGTATCACAAGGCCTTGGAAAAAGCCCACAGTATGCCGAGCTCCAAGCAGTGCTCGGTGTGGCTATGTGGGAGTTAATAGAAGGTCCGCGTCCTAGAAGGCCCATCTATATTTATAGCGACTCCCGGATGGTAGTAGAAGGATGTACTAAACGGCTACCCCTATGGAATAAAGAGGACTTCAAAAGACGAAAACAAAACATTTGGAGCCATGAAGAGTGGAAAGCCTTATGGGAGTTAACCCAAAATAAACTTCCTCTACACATCCGACATGTGAGTGCAGCACACGGAAATAAGGCAGGAGAAGGCCCAGAGGCAACGTGGAATAGACGAGTTGATCAGCTAACAAGAGAATAGAGCGCTGAAATCTTGTATGTTGAAGAAAAAGATAAAGTGGCTAACCCATCGTTACCCAATTTCTCCTCCCACTGTACACCTGGGGAACGAGCCGCAGAATGGCTACATCGACAACATGGACACCCCGGACGTGATGGAACTGCCCGCCTGGCCACATCTTGGGGCATTCATGTAACCAAAAGAGAAGCCCAAGAAATAGTCGACGCATGCATCACTTGCCGTGAGGTAAAAATGCAATTAAAACCCTGCCTGACTGTCCCGTTGTCATTACATGAAGGAAAGGTAGTGTGGCAGGTATGGCAATGTGATTTCATAGGCCCCCTCCCTCGGACTTCCCAAAAGCGACAGTATGTGTTTGTGGCTGTGGAAGTTGTTACAGGAATGACATTTGCCCACGCCTCAGCAAGAGCTACAGCCCAGGATGTTTGTGTAGCACTAGAAACTCTGCTAGCTGTGTATCTACCACCTATAGAACTACAGAGCAATAATGGCCCTCACTTCTGCAATCATTTTGTGTATGACTGAACTGCAAAACACAGCATGTTATGGACGTATCACAGCCCACACCATCCGCAGTCTAATGGATTAGAAGAGCGCGCCAATGGCATCCTCAAATGCAATTTGCAGTTGGCCGCTGGCCCGGCTCTTAAAGACTGGGACTTGCACCTGGATCGAGCTATCAATCGGGCCAATAACCGACCCCATCCGGAAGGTAGCCCTATGCAGCAGGCCTTTGGATTGGGTGGTCCCCGTGAGCCGGCAGTAGAGCAACCTAGGGGTGGTGACCCGGGAAAGCTCCAGGCAGGAGATCGAGTAGTGGTAAAACATCGTCAAGGAGATATATGGGGGCGGGGATGCTATTAGCAAAAGGTATGCATAATACATGATGGGTATTTAAGTCAGATTTATCTAACAGGAGCCGAGCTCCTTGCTGTCTTGTTCTTACAGATTAGATCTGTCCACAAGTGCAGCCACAACCATTTCTAATTCAACCTGCCACTGAAGACGAGTTCTGCTCTGTCACCGGTCTGAATCGACTGGCACCATGAAGTGGTGGACTGTTATGAATGTACTCTTTTTATTAATGCCTTGTTGTGTTTCCTGGGTAGGGTGTGTCTACTATCCTTCTTATTACCCAAATATTAATGAACTTGCTCCTGAAGACCTCAGAGAGTGGCCTGACCCTAAAGAGCATCCCCCAGAAACGCGTTCAGATGGCCTTCACGTGGTATCCATACTAGAAGAAACCTGCCACCCTGGAGCAAGTGAAGTCCTGGTCTCTGAGTAGAAAAAACAGGATAGTTGACTAGTAAGGTGGTAACTGTCAGTGCACCTGTGGCACCAGTTATTATCTTGGGTTCCCTCCCTACCTGAAGGCTGGAATGGCTAACTGTGGGAGGGGAGGTGATTGTTGTAGCTCTGCTCATTTGGGAATTTGTTGTTACATACTTCCTGAGGGGAACCCTGTTGAACTCAACGCCCCTGAGTTTGTGTCCCCAGTAGTGCATTCTGTATCTGTTCAGCCTCTTGAGCCACTGCGATTATGGGAGGATCTGCCCCCTCCCATCCCTATGGCTGACAACACTCTCCAGCGATGGTGTGAGGCCCACCAGGTGGGAGAGCACGTTACAGGTTGAAACAAAGTTATTACATGGTTTGTGAATCATACCTACACAGAGGCATGGTGGAATGGTACCCACTTCAATACAACCAGAAGGGGGCTGTATCTGCAAGTCTCCACCACTTATCCTTATCCTTTTATACCAGTAAAGTTCCTAAAGCAAATTAGTGCTATGATTCTGCCAGAGCAATACCATTTCATTAACCTGATACAGCATCGTACACTAATGCTAGGAGCTTGGGGAATAAGCAGGAGGAGCTCATCCTCCTGCTGAGTGCAAACAATTATGATGTCATAGGGATAACGGAGACCTGGTGGGACTCCACCCATGACTGGACCACGGGGATAGATGGGTATACCCTGTACAGGAGGGATCGTGTAGAGAAAAGGGGCGGGGGGGTAGCTCTCTATGTTAAGGAAAGCAACACGTCCCTGCAAGCCGATATTGGCAACCAGGGTGGACGGCTGGAGACCCTCTGGGTTAAAATCCGTGGGGAACACGGCACAGGGGACAC